TTTCAAAAATATTTGTAATTGCAGACTCCCCATCTAAATTAAAATACTCAGTAATGATAATGAAGTGAGATTAATTTAATAATGCTTTTAATACTACAGGTACTTACTGTCAGATTTCAGTGTGCCCGCTTCTCATTATGGAACCTGTCTCTACTGGTCAGGAGCTTGGAGACAGAGCAGGAGCATCAAGAGAACTGAACATGGAGAGAACAGGAACCTGAAGACAGTAGGAGCAGAGAGAGAACAGATCGTGGAAAAAAGCACTAGTGGAGAATGGGGAGAGCAGGAGCAGGTGGGGAGCAGATCACATCTGTGATCAATGTGCACTTGCCTACTCTTGACCAGAGTTATTTGGACAGTCACTCATCTATACAACTGGCCTGCATTGCAAAACCCCTCAGTTCTTAGTTTTACCACAACTCCGTGGACCGGGTTTGAAAAAAGTTGGTCTAAATTGTCAAACTTTAAATGTCATAGCTTATAACCATTGCGTGTTAGCTCGGATGGTGATCTCTCTTCTTACATAAAAATATTTTGACTCCTAACACAGATGAGGTCCCCAGCTCTGTTTTACAGAACTCTACCTGGAAATAGATGTGTGTCTCTGTTTTAAACGGTATTCTGAATCTGTTGCAGTCTCGATCCATTGTGTGGAAGACCCACTTTAGACTGGTTCATGCTAAAGACTAATGACACAAACACATACAAAGACACATGCACAAAATCTCTATCCCCAAATAGACTAAGATACTAAGGTTACAGATACATTGCTACTATTTCAGGCAATTAAGGACTAATATCAGAATGTTTATTTTACATGAAGTGGGATAAGTAATTGGGTTGATTGTTCAGGTAAAGTTATTAGAAATGAAAACTTTGAACTTGTTCAAGAAACACAGTGAGTCAAAAGTGATGGGGAATGTAATTTTTAAAATCTGTCCAGATGATCGAAGATGTGCTGAATGACTCCTTCATCTGAAACTGCATGTAGATTTCACAGAGACACTCGCAACACACATTGATACATCTTCAAACACTTCTCAAATGCATTCAGATGTTCCCATATGCACTCTCCTAACTTCCTCATATGCACCTACTCATTACCTGCTATCTGTGGAGAGCTAAAAACAGCTGGCAAACTTCAATTAATGTTTCCAGGTGTCCATCCCCAGATAAAATAAAACAGAGTTCAATAGCCATTATTCACCAATATTTCGGGCACTGTGGCTAAGTGGTTAGCACTGTTGCCTCACAGTGCCAGGGACCAGAGTTTGATTCCAACCTCGGGCAACTGTGTTGAGTTTGTACATCCTCCCCATGCCTGAATGGGTTTCCTTGGGTGCTCTGGGGTTTCCTCCCACAGTCCAAAGATGTGCAGGTTAGGTGGATTGGCCATGCTAAATTGCCCATAATGTCCAGGCATGTGCAGACTAGGTGGATTAGCCATGGGAAATTCCAGATCACGGGGACAGGGTAAGGGAATGGATCTGGATGGGATGCTCTTCGGAGGGGCGGTGTGGACTCAATGGGCTGATTGGCCTGCTTCCACACTGTACAGATTCTATGATTTTATTGTCACAAACAACTGTTATAACAACTTCAGAAAGATTTCGTTGGTGGTTTAGTGTAGTGCAATGCTTTCTTGGACACTTCTCACCTGGCTGGAGCTTACCTGCTGAAAGCGGGAATTCAATCTAATGTGATATGGTACCTGAGTGGAATCTCACATCAAATGATTTTAGGTTCACAGGACAACAATAGCATTTGAGAGAAGTGGTTTGGTGAAGTCCTACTCTTTCATTCTGGAGTCAGGCACAGCATTATATCTGGGTTTAAATTACAAGTGGAGTATTGGTGTGAAGGTAAAACACTGTGCCATGGTTTTGTTGTAAATGTTGCCTTATGAAGTCCTGTATCAATCTGAGCTGTGTAATGGCCACTTGTGTCCATGCACATCTGAAGTAATCCTATTTGAAAGTGGAACACAGTTTTAGGAATGGATAAGAACATAGGAACATAAGTAGGCCATTTTTGGGACCCTAAACCAATAACATGGACATTTGGTACCTCAATAAATGCAAATTGTGGTCGGCATCAGGGACATAATCAACAGCTTTTGTGGTTTTGTTGTTATTTTTGCAGCCAACTTGCTAACTGTCTTCATGGAAGGAAAGCATCTCCCTGTCTGACTTATAGATGTCCCCAGTACCAAGCCTTCTGAAAAAGACAGTGTTCTACCCATTCGTGTCAACCAAGGATGAGCCATAACGTAGCCCTGCGCGTACTGCCTATACCCGGAGACAAAGAAAATCCTGCCGTCTCAACACATTTTCTGTTCCCAAACTAATTTTTGCACTAAATAACTTCAGATCTTAAAATATGTTTAAAACAATAATGTGAAAAAAACTGACTTTTTTTGCCTAAATCTCCCTTAATCTCTGGTGAAGGAAAGTCTGGATTTACCTCAAATTACACATTGGGAGGCATGTAACAGAGACCTTTACTCGGGTGTTCAAGATTCTAACTAGTACCGCACCACTCACAATCACCAGAATCATCATCTAATCCATTACCAGGACAACTCACTAACGTTTCCCGTTTGCAAAACAAGCGATGACAGCAAGACCGAAAGGGGCTGCGAAGGGATATAGAGCAGTTAAGTCAGCAGAGTGGCTGATGGATTACAATGTGAAGCAGTGTGAAATTATCCAGTTCAGTAGAACGACTGGGAAAGCAGAATGTTTGTTTTAAAAAGGCAATAAACTTAAATGTGTTGGTATTAAGAGAAACGAGTGTCTTTGCGTCGTACAGAGTTAACACGCACGTTCAGGAAGCACAACAAGCGTGACATCCTACCATCCTTACTTAGTCTGGGCTAAGTGACACTCCACTCCATCACTACCATCCCACCCCCCTCCACACACAGCTTCTGTCCATTATGTAAAAACCTCCATTTTCTGACCCCCTTCAGTGCTGAAAGATGTCGCACTGACTCCAAACGTTAGCTCTGTTTCTCTTTCCACAGATGTTGCCAGACATGCAGAGTTTCTCCAGCACTCTGTTTAATAATGTTTCACTGTATTGTGTATGTGGCTGGCGGCTGAGCACCAGAACTAACCTCGGCAGTTTAGCGTCGCAACTCTAGGCTACTGCAACATCAGCTGGACCGAACAGAGCAAATACCGCAACTAATTCCCTCAACCAACCACTATTACCCACAGAATCCCAAGATCACCACAAACCAAATGCCACAACCAAGTCAGCTTAGCTATATTACACAGCCATCTGTAAAAGACATTGTCAGAACGAAGGTCGATGAGAGTTGCTGATTAAACGCCACCCAATGCTGTTCCGAGGAGGGAGCAGGCGGAGACAGCGATTCCTTTTAATTAAATCAGGGGAGAAAACGACCGTTAATTCAGGGGAGGGGCGGAATCAATCGATCGGTTCGGCAGTAAAATGATGAGTATTGATTTAGCGGATTGCGCACAGACATAGCGAGTGATCACAGGAGGGGGGAGCTCCGCTAAACCAGGGACACGTTTACGGACAAGTCAATTCAAGAGGGCTCGCAGCTCCCTGAATGACTCGACACTGATGATCCAGTTCCTGAAGGAGCGCACGAAAGAAAAGCAAATCAGATAATGTTTCTCCTCCGTCCCTGAACAAAACATTAAAATGGTTTTAAAGTTCTGAATAGTCAAATTGGGCTCGAAACGTTAACTCACTCTTTTTGCCACCACAAATGCTGGTGGACCTGCTGAGTTTTTCCAGCATTCTCCCTTCCAATTTCAGCTTCCAAAATATTTTGTCTTTAGTGAAGTGGATTTTGTCCAGTTCACTGATCCTGTACGAACCTACAGATTGGATATTCCGTCCAACTGCGGTTCAGTTTTTTTGTGAAATAGGAAAACTCAATCTGTTCGGAGATGTGGCACACACCTGGAACAGGTGAGACTTGAGCCCAGGCCTACCTGGCTCAGAGGTAAGGATACTACCACTGCACTACAAGAGCTCCCCCCCCACCCCCGCACGATGCAGATATAAACCGATCTGGAAGTGACTGGTAAAAAAACCTCGGCAGTGATCTGGCCTAGTTCCCATTTCTCTTACACACACACGGTCAGTCTCTGTGACTCGGTTGTGAGAGTTGGTTATTTCACGGTTTCCCTCCGGGCTTGCTGACGATCCCATCCATTGCTCCTTTGATGCCCCGGGGGTCTGGGTTGGGGCTGACTGCGGATTTTCAATCCCCTTTGCCCCGATGGATTTAAATCCCAAAGCAGCGAATGAATGGAAAACAGTTAGAGTCTCAGGTGGAGAGGGGCCCCGGAGTCAGTGTTTAACTGCGCGGCTAACTCAGGCAGCACTGAACTGGAATGCCATGTCCTTTTCATTCTGCCTTCGTAAATCTTCCTTTTAACCCGTTCCCTTTTAACATTGTGATTTTTTTTCTCCCTCGTCTCACATATTGACTTTTTTTGACATCCCTTTTCCTAAATCACGCTCACTCGCGCACGCCACACGGATTTCCATTCCGCAGCTCTCCTTCTGTTCTCCGCCCGTTTTCCCAACGTCACTCCGCCAAACCCGATCTTCTGCAATGTCCCACTCCTTCCTCAGTATCTTTCACTCCCTTTCTCCCTCCAGGTTGTCCTCCCTTCCTTCATCTGCTCAACTCCCTCTCTCTTCTTCCAACTCTCATACGTCACTCTGTCTCCTCCATCTATCTGGTGTCTCCCTTGCAATTGTGTCTCTCCCTCCACTGCACCGCGAAGCCAATGTCTCCCTCCTTCAGTGCCGTCCTCCGTCTCTCCCTCAATGGTATCTCTCCCTCTCCAGCTCCATGTGACCAGTATCTCCTTCCCCTCCCAGCAGTGTCCCCTTCCCCTTCCTCCATTTCTCCAATGTCTCTCTGTCTCCCTCCAGTGTGTCCTTCCCTTTCTCTGCCCCAGTTTCTTTCCCTATCCAGTGACTCTCTCTCTCTCTCTCTCTCTTACCGTACTTGTCTCCATCCTCCGCTTTCGCGTTGATTTTCTTGCCCAGGACTTGCACATGTTTTCCGCTGGTACGGCTGTAGAGTTGGTAGGTGCGGATTAACCTCCTGCTCAGCCGGTCCGTCTGCTTGGTCTGCTCCCTAACGTGCTGTGTAAAATTAGGCGGTGACTGAGAGGTTACCTTTAAAGAAAATACAATATACAATACACATGTGCATTAAACAACCACAGATCCAGCTGCCTTCAGACTGAGGCACCGCCTGCACGAGAACTTCCTTCGGCCTAAGAATCTGCCCCTTTTCTTGTTTAAAACGTTTACAATAATTTTACCAATTAACAGAAGCTTCAGTCTGAGTGTAATTCCGTTTCTAAGAGGGAGCCAGTTGTGCAAATTGTTTCATAAATAAACTGGATTCATTACCACACCCCCTTTCCTCTTCTGTGAAAGGTTTAAATGATTTTGGTGGTTTTGAAGTGTTTTAAAGTTCCCGGTGGGGGGTGGGTTCGGAGCAGTGGGTGCCTGGTCCCAGACAGGGGGAGTTGGAGAAAAAGACAGAGGCGCACATACACAGAGAGAGAGAGAGAGAGAGAGAGAGAGAGAGAACCGAGTGCCGGGCCATTCCTTCAATGACGGTTCGAGTTGTCCCAAAGCCCGGACCACAGCATTAATTTATAGGGCGGGCTGCTAATGAGAGAAACACGTGGAACAGGCCGAGACTTCAACTTGCAGCTTCGCATCTGCTTTTCTGTGTGCCTCTCTGCCACTCGATGGCTCCCAAACTGTCCGCTCTGCGCCTCTTCCTCTCTTCCTCATTCACCTTTCCATCTCCAACCCTATTTTCCAAACCATATTTCTCTTTGCTGTTAAATGGCGTTTTTGTCACCCTATTCCCCCTCTGTGCCTCTCCCTTTTTCTCAGCCTCCCGGGAGCTCCCTCGCTGTTGCCTTTTCTCCCAGTTAATTCTCCTGTGAAGTTATCACAACAAGGGTAAATGCAGGCACAGATAAACACCCAACCCCCCTCCCCGAAAAAAAAACACTCTCAAAGTTAAAAAACAAAATAAAAATCTATCCATTCATTTGTCATCCAACCCGCAAGAGACAAATCAATAGATACTTTCAATATTTTATTCCGGGTAATCAACAGATCCATAAATAAATAAATAGACAGAAATTTTGTCATTAATACCGACCTGAGCTTGGAAGCAGAAGGTCAACAGTTGCAGGCACCTGCGAGTGAAGAAAGTTACAATTAGCGAGCTGCTACATAACCAGGACTGTCACTGGCTCCAAACTTTGCAAGTTTAACCAGCAATCGGACAGTATTATAAACAACGATATTGACTGCAGTGAACAAACCCATCAAAAGTTATGAACTCACAGATAGCTGAGGCGTGTAGACAGGAGCCGCATCCTGAATGTCGTTTGTTGCAGCTTTTTAAAGTGAATGATTTAATTGTCAGTGAAAGAGATGGGGGAATAAAAAAAACAGTTTGTATTCCTATAATCTGTACAGCGACTCCCTGCAGCGGGTTGAATCCGGATTTAATCCCGAAGGCTGGCAGACCACTGGAGAAGCCCCTCCGTGAGCTGGCGATGGAACTTGGGAGTTCAGGGGAAAAATAAAACCGTGAAAGGAAGCCCAGTCAGGTCACAGAACAAGCGCTGGTCTAGGCTAGAGAGAAACAGAGAGTGAAGGGAACTGCAGGGAGAGGAATGTCCGATTGTATCTAATTCTGCCTCCTCTCTCTGTCTGCTCCGGGATCGGTCTCTCTAGCGGAAGATGGTGTCGAGATTGTTAAATCTCAAGTGTAATCTTCATTGACTCCCTCTCAGAGAGAGCGAGGTCCGGCGTTCTGTCAATGTCTCTCTGTCAGATCCGCCTGTTTCAGACGCTGCAGCTCCGATATTTTCACTACCCGTCCTCTCTCTCTCTCGGGAGAGCGTCACGCCGGCTCTGGAATGTTTTCCCCTCTTCTCTCTCTCTCTCACGTCTTTAATTCACCTTCTTGAACAAGGCAGCTGATTCCCAGCAAATCCTCCCAGTCCGGGCACTTTCGCTGCAAAATGCAGTAATCTTCCTCTCTCGATCCCGCTGTTCACCTTCAGTGGAGTAAAAATCTCCTATTCATCCCGGGAGTACAAATCTCCCATTCCCCGCTCTCCCAGCCCTTCCTTAATTTCGCTCTGTTCTCCCTCTCTCTCTGTGTCTGGCTGGTTCTGAGCTTTCGGCTCTGGTTCCTGGAGACTTGAACTGGCTTTGCCATGCGGCAAACAATGGTTTAAATAGAAAGCGCACACCTGTCGGCTCGGCCGTGTAGCCGGCGCAAAGTCTGCAGCTTCTGGGAATGACATTTCAGTGCAAAACACGAAGGGGGGCGGGGATAATGTGTGTGTGTGTTTTGGGGTGGGGGTGGCGATGGGTTGGATTCGATCACATCCAGCAACGTCTCAAGTATCTCCACTGAAGGAGAAACGTTTCAGTAAATTTGCAGCAAATGTGATTTTTTAACACTGACTATTTGTTTGCAATTTCACGAGATTATGTGGTGTGACTGAAAATGTGACAGTTTAACACATATTCACACCCACTCGCAAGTTTTATTGAACAAGGTAAACACTCATGCCCCGACACTGTTATTCATAGATAGATAGACGGACCCACGTCGCGCTGTGGTTTGTGGATGTGCATTTATTGTTTTTTTAAGGTTAGCGCATGTTCTTGCGCTAATATGAATATACATTTTCATTTTCAATATTGGGAAGCGGTGCTCTAAAATGCCTATTCCGGGATTTTGTTTGTGAGAGTGCGGGTTTAAGTGTTCCTGAATGTGTCAGTGTTATCTGTCACACAAGCGAATATGTCTGAATGTGTCTCAGTCTTTAAATGAGACGGTGATTTGTCTATGTGAAATTGTACGCTTGTGTGCAAGCGAGGATTTTATGATTGTGTTAATCTGCGTGTGTATATGTGGAGGCTTATGGTCGAGAATGCGTATAAATTCGCCTATCAGTGTGAATACCTGTGTGAACGAAGGTATATGTTCATAAAAGAATATGTGTGTATGAGTGTGCGGGGGTGCGCCTCCAAATGAAAGTTTCTGAGTGTACATGTACATATGTGTATATGAGAGGGGGTACCGGTCTGTGTGAGCATATATGACTGTGTGAGCATGAATGTGTGTGTAATCTTGCAAATATCTTTGTATGCGTGTGTTTGAATGTATCTAAGTGAACGGGTGCACGTTTGCATCAGTTTGAATGTGTGTGTGTGTGTGAAAGGGCGAGGGTATCTGAGTGAACATGTATGTGTGAGATTGTGTGTGAGCGAGTCTGAGTGAAGGTATGTTGTGTAAATGTGAGTAGTGAGTGTGTCTAAGATTGTGTGTATGTGTGAGATTGCGGGTGAAATCGCGTGGGTTAGTGAGATTGAATGAGTTAGTGAGTGTTTGTGTGTGCAGGGGTGGGGTGGGGGGGCGGAATGAAGAACCATTCTTGGGGTCGGTCAGATAGATCGTGAGGTCTTTATGCCAAATATTAATTTAATCGTTCTCAAAGAGAGGTTGAGGTCACGCCCGGATTGAAATGTTAGGGGAAATATTCTACTGCTAAAGCTAAAGTGGGAAAACACGGAAATGAAAACAGATGAACTAAAACAAACTAGGAACGATATGTGTCCGGACAGAAACAGTGAAAGGCGACAATATTCTGGGCTCCAGGAACCCCGCAGTGCGGATTGATAATGGAAACTGCCAGGTAGACCCAGGAGAGAAAGCAGACAATGGAAAAATGGTCAGACAGCGCACTAGCGCACGGCCAGTCCAGCTTCCGGGAACATTGCGCCCAGAAACCGAGCTGTGTAAGAATTTCCAAGATTCTCCTGAGCCCCACACATTGCCAGCCCGGGAAAGCCCCGTGGATTTTGGAGTTGCAAGGAGCAAGGATACTGGCTGTGTGTTTCACAGGGAGGTCTAGTCACTGCACATGTCACATCGGTTAGTGCACTCACTATATATTGTACAACAAAGATTTTTCCCAGTGACTGAGAAGATTTCCAGAACTGGGGAAAACCCACCACTGTTAACCTGGGAAGTTAAAGATAGCATCAAATTGAGAGAACAAAAAATAGCTTTAAAACAGAGAATTGAGAGCATTTTAAAAACCAACAAAAGGTGGCCAACGAAGGGAGAAAATCATCTCTGAGAGGTAAACTAGCAAGTAATATCAAAACATTTAGAAATAAACAAAGGTTTTTGTAAAGATCTGTAGCTAGGGTTGTGGGTGAGGTTGTTGACTTGCTTGCAAAGCTGGCTTGTTCTTGTTCAGACATTTCATCACCATGCTAGGTAACATCATCAGTGGAGCCTCCGATGAAGCGATGTTATTCTACTCCACTTGGAATTTATACTGTCCGGTCCGTTATGGAAAGTAGTGTCATTTCTGGTCTTGATCTGTATGGATTTGTATATGGGGTCCAATTCTATATGTTTGTTGATTGCATTATGGGATGAGAACCATGTATCTAGGAATTCCCGTGCATGTCTATGTTTGGCTTGGGCTACTATGGTTACCTTGTCCCAGTTAAACTGATGTTCTTTGTTGTCCGAGTGTGCTGATATTAGGGAAAGTTTGTCATGTCGTTTTGCTCCTAGCCAATGTTCGTGTATTCTGATGGCTAGTTTCCTTCCTGTCTGTCCAATGTAATGTTTGTGGCAGTCCTTGTGTGATATTTTGTAAATTACGTTGATTCTGCATGCTGTGGTATGGGGTCTTTAATCCTTGAGAGTGTTTGATGTAGAGTGGCTGTGGGTTTGTGGGCCACCATGATTCCTAGTGGTTGTAGGAGTCTCATTGTCAGTTCTGATATGTTCCTGATGTAGGGTGGTGTGGTCAGTGTGTTAGGGCGTACTGTGTCCTCTTGGTGTTGTCTATTTGGCAGGCACCTGCGGATGAAGTTGTGGGGATATCGTTCATAGTGAAGATTTTGTACAGGTGCTCTTCCTCTTTCCTGCGTAGTTCTGGTGTGTTACAGCGAGTGGTGGCCCATTTAAATAGTGTCCTCACACAGCTTTGTTTGTGGACGTTGGGATGGTTGCTGTGGAAGCTGAGGATTTGGTCAGTGTGGGTTGCTTTGCTGTATACTGAGGTTTGGAACTCACCATTGGTCATACATTCAACTCTGACATCCAGAAATGGAAGCTGATTGTTGTTTTCTTCTCTCATGAATTTGATCCCGGTGAATAAATTGTTGATGAGATGGTGGGTCTCTTCCAAATGCACCAAACTAGAAGAGATCCACCATCTCATCAACAACGTATTCACCGGGATCAAATTCATGAGAGAAGAAAACAACAATCAGCTTCCGTTTCTGGATGTCAGAGTTGAATGTATGACCAATGGTGAGTTCCAAACCTCAGTATACAGCAAAGCAACCCACACTGACCAAATCCTCAGCTTCCACAGCAACCATCCCAACGTCCACAAACAAAGCTGTGTGAGGACACTATTTAAATGGGCCACCACTCGCTGTAACACACCAGAACTACGCAGGAAAGAGGAAGAGCACCTGTACAAAATCTTCACTATGAACGATATCCCCACAACTTCATCCGCAGGTGTCT